AATCTTCAAAGAAACTAGCTGGAATGTTGATAGGGACTGTATTTAGTTTAGAGATCAATTTTTTTAATTAGTTTTTTTATTGATTTTAGAGAGGGAGTAAGGGAAAGGGAGAGAGCAAGCGAGAAACATCAGCTGCCTCCTGTATACCCCTACTGGGATTGAGCCTGCAACCTGGGCATGTGGCCTTGACCGGAATTGAACTGGCAACCTCTTGGTACATGTGAAGATGCTCAACCAACTGAGCCGGCCAGGGCTAGAGATCAATTTTGAGTGTTCTGATCTATAAACATGGAACATCTTTCCATTTAATTAGGTCTTTATTTAAATTGTGTTATGTAGTTTTCAGTACATAGTCTTGCACTTCTTTGGTTATTTATTTTATTCTTTTTGCTGCCACTGTTAAATGAAAGTGTTGTGCTTGCTAATTTATAGAAATATAAATGGTCACTGATTGAGATTTTTTCTTTTTTTTAATGTAGGTGTTTCCAGGTATAAATTTCCCTCTTAAGCACTTCTTTGGCCATACCCCATAAGTTTGATATGCTATGTTTTTATTTTCATTGTCTAAGAGTGTTTCCTAATTTCCTTGTGATTTATTCTTTGCTCCACTGGTTATTTATAAACATGTTGCTTAATTTCCACCTATTTGTAAATCTCTCAGATTTTCTTTAGTTATTGATTCTACTTTCATTTCATTATGGTCAAAGAACATATTTAGTACAATCCCTTTTAAATGTATTGAAACTTATTTAATGGTGTAACATATGGTCCATGCTAGAAAATATTTTCTGTGCACTTGAGAAGAATGTGAATTCTGCTACTGTGTGAAGTGTTCCATAGATATCCACGAAGTCCTATCTATTTTGTTGATCATCTGCCTAGCTGTTCTACCCATTATTGAAAGTATTTATGAATTATTATTGTTGAATTGTCTATTTATCCTTTCATTTTTTTCAGTTTTTGCTTCATGTATTTTGGGGCTCCCCTAGTAAGTTTATAAGTGTTATGTCTTCCTAATAGATTGACCCTTTTATCATTATAAAATGTCCTTTATCTCCAGTAATTTTTGGCTTATAATCTATATTATCTGATATTAGTATAGCTATTCCAGCTCTCTTTTGATACTCATTGCATGCTTTACCTTTTCCTACCCTTTTACTTCCAACCTTTTGTGGTTAAATCTAAAATATGTCTCTTATAAACTGCATATAGTTGGATCATTAATGAAATTTTACATTACAAAAAGTTTTCAAAAATACTAGTAAGACCAAAATATGTAGAAAGACATACTCACTTCTGAAATTGAAGAAACTACTGCAAAGATAAAATATTCAAGAACAGCCATTAAATTTGGAGGGAGGCACAAACCAATAACAAGGGAAAACTTATCTCACCAGATATCATAACAGACTATAAAGTATTGCAACTAAAATATTAATGGTATTTGCAAGAGAACAGATAAATACATTAATGGAAAAGAATAGAACCCAGAAAAAGACTCATGTATGTATGTGTGTATGTATATGTTCTTGTGTGTAATTTTAAATCAATAAGGATAGAGTACTCAGTAAAAGGTATTACAAGTAGCTTTCAACAGAAAGAAAATTATATTACCTCCCACACTCAAAATTAAAATGCAGTTGCATTACATGACACTAAAATTACTACAAAATGGCCGTGGCCAAGTAGTTCAGTTGGTTAGAGCATCATCCTAATATGCCAAGGTTACAGGTTTAATCCCCAGTAAGGGCACATATAAGAAACAACCAATGAATACATGAATAAACGGAACAATAAATAGATGTTTCTCTCTCTTTCACTCTCTGCCTTCATCTCTCTCTCTAAAAATCAATCAATAAGAATTACTATAAAATGATATAAAAATATCTATATACTGTATATATATAAAAGCCTAAGCGACCATTATGACTGAACAACCGGTCAACCAGTCACTATGATGCACACTGACCACCAGGAGGCAGATGCTTGACAAAGGAGCTCCCCCTGGTGGTCAGTGCACTCCCACAGCCAACCTTCCACGGCCCCTCCTCCCAGCCAGTCAACCTCCCGCATCCCCCACCCCCGCAACCCGGCTGGCCCCCCAGAAAGGCCTAGATCCCTGGCCAGGCCAAGGGACCCTACCTGTGCACAAATTTGTGCACCAGGCCTCTAGTCCTATAATAATAAGATAGGGGAGAATTTTCTAGGTAATAGACAAAAGCCAGTTTTTAAAGAAGCTGTGTGTGTGTGTGTGTGTTTATTGATTTTAGAGAGAGTAAAGAAAGAGAGAGAGAAGGGGGGAGGGAAGGAAAGAAGAGAGGAAAAGAGGGAGAGAGAAAGAGAAACATCTTTCAAAACTTCACTAAAATACAACTTAATCAGTATCTTTCCCTTTATTTTATATTCAATGATTACCTTATATAAAAAAAACAAAGATATGCTCTGGCCTATGTGGCTCAGTTGGTTGGAGCATCATCTCCTGCACGGGAAGGTCGAAGGTGTCAGCTTCCATCCCAGGTCAGGGTGGGTGTGGGAGGCAACCAATGTATCTTTTTCTTTCTCTCTCTCCTCCTTCCCCCTCTCTCTAAATTAAATAAAATAAAAGATATCATATGGTTTGTGACCAACACCAGTGGCTAGAAGTTCTCCAAGTCACTTCTTTCAACTTTCTTTTAAAAATGAAATTTAAAATGTGGAATAAACTGCGCACAATGCCATTTTCTCTAGGAGAAAAAGGCTGTGATTACCGCATTAAAAAAAACACACACAACAAATAGCTGATTCATATTAATAAAAATTTCACTGAAAGCGTAACTTTATAAGATATGCTTTAAAAATTACTTCATTTGCTACACAATCCTGAAATCTAACCTGTAAAGCTGTCCTACACAATCCATCAGTGTCTCCTGAGTCCTTCAATTCACCCAGAACCTGAGAGTTTCAAAAGCTAATACCAACAGCAATCAAACCAGGTGCAGCTTGTTACAAGCAATAGCCCTAAATTCCAAATAAAATTAATAACAAGACACTGGCCCGGTAAGTCAACTGGTTAGATTCGCCAGGGTTGTGGGCTCAATCTCCTCCCCCACACCCCCACACCCCCACCCCCACGTCAGGGCACATACAAGAATCAACCAATGAATTATAGAAGCAATTGGAAAAAATAAAGTGTTGTTTCTCTAGCTCTTCTCCCCTTCCTCTCTCCCAAATCAATTTTTAAAAAAATTTTTAATTAATAACTAAACAAAAGTCAAAACCACCGTGTTCTTAAATTTTCTCTTAGAAGTAGGAGTTCCTTAGTTTTACAATAGGTTGCTTTTCACTGAAAAAAGAACGGGAAATCTAATTAACAGTGATAAGGATGAGAACAGTTAGTTCCCAGGCAGAGGATGCAAGAAATTGACAACGCAGGCTTGACCTAGAGACCTCTCTTTCTCTTTCTCTCTCTCTCTCTCTCTCTCTCTCTCTCTCTCTCTCTCTCTCTCTCTCACACACACACACACACACACACACACACACACACACACACACACCAAAGCTCTGGGGACGCTTTCAAGAAATGTCACTGCCTAACGGAAGTTTTAAGGCCTAAGGACAACCCTAAGCCTGTAAATACACTGCAAAATACAATCAAGCAAACTCCATTCTCCAAAACAATTCAGGAGTTTCCTACGATGCCCGAAACGGAAAGAGCGCGTACTCCGTCTGGCCACCCTCGGGACCGCGGCCTCTCACACAGGAGGGAGGGAGGGCAGCCCATGGGAATCTGGGCGCCCCCTCGCCGGTTCAGGTGACAGACCCGCTGGGGGCATCTGACTGTGATCCCGGGCCTGCGCTGCGGGAAGAGGAACGTAACTGCAACCTTCAGAGCCTACTTCCGTCCTCAAAACAGAAATGCACTGTTTCTCCTACTCCTCGCCCCTCCATCCAACACCTCTCCACAGCGCTACCCGCTTCAGAAAGCTTAAGTGGAAAGCAAAGCCCACAGAATGTGGTTGGTCCAAGCGCCCCCACCCCCGACCCCGGCGCAAATCACCCGCCAGGGCCGTCCTGGGAGCCCCTCTGGCTGGGGATTCGCACGCAACAGAAATCGACGTCCCAGTTCGCCCCCACACCCCACCCCACACCACCCCACTTCCTCCATGGGGTAAGGAGAGTGGAAAAGCGCAAAGAGGAACTAAGTGAACTGCGAGAGGCTGCCCGGCAAGCTCTCTTA